AGAAGCAGAGGACTAGAAGGAGAGAAGACAGAGGAGATAGAAAAGTGATTCCGCAAAGAAACATACGAATGTGGCTAAATCACAATCATAGGAGGCCAGATCAGAGTCCTAGCACCAAAAAGGAGCTAATTCAGGGCCTGTGTGCATGGAGAGAAAGTTCCCCTAAACATTATCAGTATGTGTGCAATACATAATGTTTGCCCTCCTTGTGGGAGGTTGGTACATGTTCATGACACAACCTAATTCCTTTCTGTCTCCTTACTGCTTTCTCCCCTCCTGATCCCTTCATCTCTTGATCCCCTGTCCATTGAGAAAGATCTGTCTCCCTACTTCATATTATCTACCTTTCACTTTTCTCTTTATTTTTACTCTAAGTTTCTCATATAGAAAGCAAGGTCATATTTAAGCTTATGTATCTTATGTATTTCATTTAACATAGGGTTTTCATGTGCATTCGTTTTCCTACAAATGAGTGAAGTTTATCTTTATGGCAAAGTATTACTCTGTGATGTACAAACACCACATTTTCTTAATCCATTCACCTTTTGATAGACATATAGGCTGCTTCCAAGATTTGGCTCCTATCACTTGTGCTGCTATGCACATGGATATACATGTTTCTCTGCAATACTATGTCATGGACTTTTGGGAGAAGATACTTACAAGGGGAATGACTAGGTCAAATGAATTTCTACCTTTAGATTTTGAAGAGCATCCATAGTGATTTCCATAGTGGCTACACCAGTTTACATTCTCACCAACTGTGTGGAAGGGTCTGTTTTCCCCTACAGCCTCTCCAGCATTTGTTATTATTTGATTTCTTGATGATGACCATTATTTGTAGGATAAGATGGAATGTCAGCATTGTTTGAGTTTGCATTTCTCTCATGGCTAGTGATGTTAAGCATTTCTTTGTGTATTTATTGCCCATTTATACTTTTTTATGAAGAGTCTACTCATTTAATTTGCCTATTTTTTGTCTGGGTGTTTTATTTTGGGGTGTCTACCTTTTTTTTTATTTTTTATATTTTTGGTACCAGGGATTGAACTTGGGTCCTTGCACTTGCAAGGCAGGCCACCGAACCGCTGAGCTAAATCCCCAGCCCTGGGTGTCTACCTTTTTAAAATTCTTTGTATATTCTAGATATGAGTCCTTTTTCTGAGGAATTGCTGGCAAAATTTTTCCTATTGTCTACGTTGGCCCTTTACTCTGTTGGCTGTTTCTTTTGCCTTGCAGAAGCTTTTAATTTAATATGATCCCATATTTTGATGTTTCCAGTGTGTCTGGGGTTCTGTTCAGAAAGTGACCGCCTATGCCTATGACTTGAAAACTCTTATTTAGCTTGTCTTTCAGCAGTTTAAGTGTTTCTGGTTTAATATTTATTTGTTTGATACATTTTGATACTAGTTTAGTGCATGGTACATGGGATCGAACTCAGGCCCTTGGGCTTGCGAGGCAGGTTGGCAGCAAATACAGCCGGAAAAGGAAAATGATAGGTTACTCTTTTGACCCATTTTTTTCATGTTTCCTGTGTTTTGGGTCCACTTCGACCAGACCATTTTAGATGTGTGAGCTCTTCAGTGGGACTTTGTTTTGTTGTTTTTGTTGTTGTTTGTTTTCTCCATGAAACCTAACAGTATCTGAGGTTTTCCCTATGAAGAGCTCTTTTTATTTTTTATTTACTTATTTTTATTTTCTGGCATGCAAAATATCAATGTTACAAATGAGAGATTCTCCATTACTTGGTTGCTGTGGGGAAAAGAATTTTAAGACATAGGTCAGAGACTCTTTAGCACCTGTCCTGTAAAGGGGTTGTATAATTTCTTCCAAACTGTGCGCAGTCCTACAGCACACATCTGTAGTAGCACATCTCTATTTGCAAACTAGTACTTTCCCAAGCTTTTCTCATGAGAAAACTCCACAAGATGGTGTTGGTCATTTTTCTTCTTGAGAAATCTTTCTCAGTATAATGACCTGGGATGCCAATTTAACAAGTAGTACTTGGTGTAACATTTAAAATTGATATTCATGCTTGGCTACATGATGTCTAAACGACCTCTTAGATCTTACATTAGATGTATTCTCACTGCAATATTTTATTACTCCTATTTTTATTTTATAGAAAATGTTCAGTTCTCCTTGCTAATATATATAGCAAGATGAGTAATAACACAGAGGACTCTAAAAATAACACATTTACTTATATAAAAATTGCTAGTGTTAGTATCTGTTTAGTTTGTATTCTTACTAATGGAACAACAGGCAGTGCATTCATCCCCCATCTACATCAGAAACACATTTTAAGACCCCTGTGCTTGCAAGAAACTGCAGCTAGTACCTTAAACCCACATGCACTATGTTTTTCCTGCTGCATACATGCCTATCTTAAAGTTTAATTCAGAAATTATGCAAAATTTGAGATTAAAAGAATAATTATGCAAAAAGCATAATAATATATTGTAACAAGTGTTGTAGGAATGTGAAAAGGTAGCAAAATATCTTACTGCCCCATTCTTACTCCTCTTGTGATGTACTGAGATGATGTAATTAATGCCTGCTGAATGAGGTGAGTGGAGGTGGCTGACCTGGGCATCGTGACCTGGTGTTAGGACACACTGACCACCCCACGACACCGCGACACTGTGACGGGATAAGAACCGCGAGGGCTAGCACGTGGATCGCAGAGATTCACAGCCTGGGTGAAATGGACAGTATGGTGTGACATCTCAGCGGTCTAGTCAGTATAGCGTGCAATTAAACACTTAGGAGATATTTCTGAAGTTTTCTGCTCTTTTCAGAATGCTGACCATAAGCAAACTGACCATAAACAATGAGAATACTTGGAAGAAATGATTATATACTGGAGCAAATTCATCTGCTTTACATAATTAATATACAACTTTACATTTTTTAATTCATCTTTCTAAATCTAAAGATTGAAAGGGGTAATTTTCATATGTTCTATGTGAAAATGATTTTTTTTGTTTGAAAAATTTTTAAGTTTATAACTATAACATTTGTGATTCAGGTGCATATAATTTTTTTTAACTTAATGATTTGTAATTATTTGAATCTAAAGATCGAATGGAACCTTTTACACTTCAAGGCAGTCTTATTTTTATTTTAAATGCTAAATGAATCAAGCTAAGCTTTCAGACAAAATGTATTTTAAAAGTTAATTTTGATTTGCTTTTATAAATCAATAATGGTCTTATTTACCACAATAATGAAGCATGCTTTTAACCAGGACTTTTAGATAAATTCATTGCAGTTATGTTTAAATTTGTATTGCTTTCTATAAATGTGGGATTCATAGACATGAATTGAATGTATGATTATTTTTCTAAAAGTCCAGCTCAATTTGTGATGGTCTAAAGAACATTCTTCCTTGAAGCTGTCTTTACAATTTATTTGAGACCAATATAAATTCCCTCATGAGGCAATGCTTGAAAAAAGCCCCTTAATGATTACTAATTTACTTCATGTATAATGATTGACTTACCATTAATAATTTAAAAATGCATGTGATTTTTACATTCTTATCGTTAGTATGATACTTCTAAACTCACTCTTTAAATCAGCTCTCAGTAATAGGCTAATTAATTACATGGAAGGGATTGCCATATAAATTTATGTTTTTCAAAAATTATACAAAAAATCTATGTCTTAAATCTGAGATTATACTAGAAAGCCTAAAATATAATTAATATGAACCAAAGTAATAACACAGAGGACTCTAAAAATAACACATTTACTTATATAAAAATTGCTAGTGTTAGTATCTGTTTAGTTTGTATTCTTACTAATGGAACAACAGGCAGTGCATTCATCCCCCATCTACATCAGAAACACATTTTAAGACCCCTGTGCTTGCAAGAAACTGCAGCTAGTACCTTAAACCCACATGCACTATGTTTTTCCTGCTGCATACATGCCTATCTTAAAGTTTAATTCAGAAATTATGCAAAATTTGAGATTAAAAGAATAATTATGCAAAAAGCATAATAATATATTGTAACAAGTGTTGTAGGAATGTGAAAAGGTAGCAAAATATCTTACTGCCCCATTCTTACTCCTCTTGTGATGTACTGAGATGATGTAATTAATGCCTGCTGAATGAGGTGAGTGGAGGTGGCTGACCTGGGCATCGTGACCTGGTGTTAGGACACACTGACCACCCCACGACACCGCGACACTGTGACGGGATAAGAACCGCGAGGGCTAGCACGTGGATCGCAGAGATTCACAGCCTGGGTGAAATGGACAGTATGGTGTGACATCTCAGTGGTCTAGTCAGTATAGCGTGCAATTAAACACTTAGGAGATATTTCTGAAGTTTTCTGCTCTTTTTAGAACGCTGACCATAAGCAAACTAAACAATGGGAATACTTGGAAGAAATGATTATATACTGGAGCAAATTTATCTGCTTTACATAATTAATATACAACTTTACATTTTTTAATTCATCTTTCTAAATCTAAAGATTGAAAGGGGTAATTTTCATATGTTCTATGTGAAAATGATTTTTTTTGTTTGAAAAATTTTTAAGTTTATAACTATAACATTTGTGATTCAGGTGCATATAATTTTTTTTAACTTAATGATTTGTAATTATTTGAATCTAAAGATCGAATGGAACCTTTTACACTTCAAGGCAGTCTTATTTTTATTTTAAATGCTAAATGAATCAAGCTAAGCTTTCAGACAAAATGTATTTTAAAAGTTAATTTTGATTTGCTTTTATAAATCAATAATGGTCTTATTTACCACAATAATGAAGCATGCTTTTAACCAGGACTTTTAGATAAATTCATTGCAGTTATGTTTAAATTTGTATTGCTTTCTATAAATGTGGGATTCATAGACATGAATTGAATGTATGATTATTTTTCTAAAAGTCCAGCTCAATTTGTGATGGTCTAAAGAACATTCTTCCTTGAAGCTGTCTTTACAATTTATTTGAGACCAATATAAATTCCCTCATGAGGCAATGCTTGAAAAAAATTCATTATATTCTATGACAGCGAATATGGTAAGTCTTTAGAATCTGTGCACATTTTATAAGTTGACTTTAGCCTGAGAAGCAACTACATTAATCTCAAAAAATTCCAAGGAGATGACTCATCTATGATTTTCTTGTCGTACTCTTACAAAACTAAGAGCACCAACCAAACATTCTGCTGACACCATGAAGTTCATCCTTTTGTATTAAATACCACTGGAGTCAGATTTTTAAAGTAAAATCTTTACCTAACATTCAGTTTAAAAATATTTCTAAAGGAGTTTGACTTCTGAATAACTTGGAGAGTCACAAAGACAGCATTCTGTTTCCTTTCAAAGAAATGTGTACCTTTTTATGATAGAGAAAGAACACTTTTGATAGGTTCCAGAAGACTGAAGAAAGATCATTTCTGCTTATTTATTAACTAAAATCTGCGATAATCATGCTTACTCTGCTGTCTAGATTTAAACGTCTACTTGATATTTAAGCCTTTTGAGCCACTAAAATTTTTTTTACTTTACTCTTGGTACCACATATTGTCTTGAGTATGAAATTTCACAAAGATACAAGGTGATATAAAAACAAGTTATTTAACCCTCCAAGGTGAAACACAAAGCATTGTTCCTAACCTCACCACAACTTGAGGAGAAAACATTTTATGGCAGTTTATTTACTCGTGTGACATTAAGAATGCAAGCAAATAATAGTATTTTTTCTTTAAGTTTTTTTCTGAGATTGTTTCATACTGATTCCAAATGTGTTCAACTACAGTTTTCCTCTTATTTTTATAAGTAGTGGGGAAAAGTGGACGGAAGATGAGTGTGTTCAATGCAGGGAAGTAAACAGTCTCGGTGAGGAACACTGGTAAGAGGCAGCGTGTGGAGCATTGGTGCAAAGATTTTACCCATCGCAAGGAATGTAAGGAAGTCAGGAGTTTGGGTTCACTGCAAGAGAGCAGTAGGTGATTTCCAAGTGGGAACTGCGCTGACGTGGTGAGGGATGGGCTCTTTTTAAAAATTGTTGGTGTGTATCTGCGATACATAACAATTGCATTTGTATGTCACACGTAAATCATTCTATTCCTCTTACAGCCTATAACAATTGCTTGTATGTCACACGTAAATCATTCTATTCCTCTTACAGCCTCGCCTGTCCCTCCCCATTTCCCCAGTCCCCCTTCTCATCACAAAATCTAACTCTATTTTCTACAATGTCTTTTTTATTCTGCTCTTGAGATAT